CCTAGACCCTAAGCCCGAAACCCTATATCACATACTATAAGCCCCAAACCTTCCGCTCTATAGTAACCCCAAGCTCTTGTGAACCTTGTACGGAAGCCTCAAGCCAATCAAAACCCCAACATCCTTCAGCACGCGCCCTCCTCAGGCAAGAGGCCAGTGCGGCCAAATCTTCGAACTTTGCAAATGTTTCATTCCGGGGCTGAAACCATCCTCGCACCTCCCAAAAACTCCAATCTCAGGTTGTCTTCTCAGTGTCTTATACGGCCCCAAAGAACCCTACCTTTTAGGGCTCCTTATTACTATGATTTGGTTGCATAAGTCCTTAAAGAGGTAGGTTATTTGGGGTTACCCTAAACCCTAAACCATAAACAAATGGTTTCAAGTTATAAGGGTCTTATCCGGATCCAAACCTTAAGCTCTGCCTTAACGGCAAATAGCCTACCTGTTTTACGGTTCCTTAGTATAAGTTCTCTACATAAGTCCCTTAAAAGGTAGGTTATTTGGGGTCCGGGTACACCCTAAACCCTACCCCGACGTCCTACACCCTAGACCCTAAACCCTAAACCCTAAGTGCTACACCCTAGACCCTAAACCCTAAACCCGAAGTCCTGCACCCTAGACACTAAACCCTAGACCAGGCTCTTGCCTTCATCTTGGACTTCAATCGCCCTAGAGCTTCCAGGGTGGAGGGCTCTCGGTTCAGGGTTTACGGCCTCAAGGGGTTTAAAGGGCGTAGGGTTGTGGGTTTAGGGGTTAGGGGTTAGCATAGACCCTAAACCCTAAACCTTAAACCTTAAACCCAACCAGGACCAGCTTTTCAGTCAACTCCATTAAAATGGAGCATCCTAAACCCTACAGAACGAATCAGGATGATGAGTGCTTACCAGCACTGGCCAAGTACCCCTTAATAGTGGGTATTTAGGGTATAATAGAGGGGTGCTGGTAAGGTTTGGGATTTCGGGTTCTGGGTTTCGGGCTATTACTCGACCCTGCCCTAAACCCTTAAAGCCTAAAGCCCTTCAAGCCCTTAACATGCCCTTATATAAAGCCTTTGAAGCTTTGAAAAAACCCTTAAAGCCCTTGAAACCCTGCAAGCCCGTATTGAAAAACCCTTAAAGCCTTTAAAGCTCTGAAAAGAACCTTAAAGCCCTTAAAATCCTTCAAGCCCTTAAAAAACCCTTAAAGCCTTTAAAGCTCTGAAAAGACTGCCGGAGTCTTTGGGCATGTCCTTGTTTCCAAGCGATGGACGGCTGGCTCTCCCCTCGACCCCTTCTCAAGCCCTCATGGGGTTTCGGCTTTAGGGTTTAAGGTCCAGGGTTTAGACCTAAACCCTGAACCCCTAAACCCTAGACCCTAAACCCTAAAACCCTAACCCCTAAACCCCTAAACCCCTAAACCCTAAACCCTTAACCCTAAACCGTTTAGGAGCACAAAGGCCGATGTGCTCTGTGCCTTATGTCTCCGAGATCCTGAGGTCCGATTCTTCGACTCTTTATATAGGGGTTTAGGGTTTAGGGATTTAGGGGTTTAGGGGTTTAGGGGTTTAGGGGTTGAAGGGTTTAGGGTTTAGGGGTTTGGGGTTCAGGGTTTATGGGTTTTAGGGTTTAGGGTTTGTTGGCAACGCCCAAGCCTCCCACTCAACTTCACACAGTAAGACCTAGGGATTCATATAGGGGCCTGAATCATTACCTATACGATTTTTTTTGGGGGGCTCTTTCTGAGAACTATAGTATAATCGACACCAAAACCCTATTCTTATTAAGGCCCCAACATTAGGGTAAGACCGCTGAGAATACTTGGCTCGAAATCCCGGGTGCTTTGCCTAGCCGACTCTTCTGTGGTGTTTCGAGCATTCGTAGTCGTAGTCCCTCGTAGCTCTGGTCTTCCCTGGACCCTAAACCCTAAACCCGAAACCGTAAACCCCCCGGACCATCATTGCCGCATATGCCCCACAACCCTGACCAATTCTGGGCTCTTGAAGCCTGTGCCACTGAGCCTTGTGCACCCCCTTTTGAAGGCACACCCGTGATCCCAGACCCTAAACCCTAAACTCCTAAACCCTAAACCCCAGAATCCTAAACCGTAAACCCTAAACTCCTAAACCTCAAACCCTAAACCCTAAACACTGGAAACACCCCGTCACCCCACATTTCCGGGAAGTCGGGCCGCATCCTTCCGGCCAGTAGCCGCAGAATTGCACCACCGGCGGAAAGATCGCCGGTGATGCGAGCGTGGTAGCAAAGGGCGTGTTCTACATTAGGGTCCCGTGGTTTAGGGTTCAGCGTTTTTGGGTGTGTTCCAAATTTAGGTCTTTTGCCCATACCCGTTCAGTTCATACAAAGGGACCCTAGTTTTGAACAGCTCCAGCAAGACAGCATGGGTACCAAAACCAGCTGGGGAATTGATGGCTTCGTCTTGCTGTGATGCTGAGGCTGCTGACACTTATGATGGTGGTAATGCTGCTGATGCTGGCGACCCTAAACCCTAAACCCTAAACTGACGACCGCAGTTGCCTTCCAGTAGAACAGGCATTGAGCTTTTGTTCCGGGGCTCTTTTTCTCTTCACATTTGAGATCCCTAAACCCTAAAACCCCCAAAACCTCTAAACCCCAAAGACCCTAAACCCCAAAACCCCTAAACCTTAACAAGAACCTTAAACCCTAAACCCCATATAGTTTGAACATAAAACAGTTAAGAAGCAAAGCCTTGAAAAAAAGACCAAGGGTCTGGCAAGCCCCTCATCTTCAAGCTTCTTAATCCCCTGCAGTAGAAGCCATAAAGTTGGGTTTAGGGTTTAGGGTTTAGGGTTTAGGGTTTAGGGTTTAGGTCATCCTCATGCCCTTAGGGTAGAGTATAAGGGATCCCAGCACTAATCCTCCTAAACCCATGTTCCAACTTTCTGGGTTTCACTACAAACCATCCTCATGCCTAAACCTCGACACCCCAAACCCCGAAGCCCAAAGTTTCTTAACCTCAAACCCGACACCCTAAACCCTAAATCCCAAACCCTGAACCCTAAATCCCAAACCCTAAACCCTAGATCCCAAACCCTAAACCCAAAAACTCCCTAAACCCTAAACCCTAAATTTCCCTAAACCCTAAACCCTAAATTCCCTAAACCCCAAACCCTAAGTTCCCAAACCCTAAATTCCCAAATCCCAAACCTCACTTAGATCTCTTCGACCCCTCCGCCCATGGCCGCGGACCTGGAGACCTTCCTTCAAGAGGAGGTCGGGGCCAATGCTGCCGAGGAGGAGGAGGCAGCACGTTTAGGGTTTAGGGTTTGGGGTTTAGGGTTGCATAAAGACAACAAGAAACGAAGTAAGATCTGAAATAGTAGTCATACCAGCTAGCTAGCAGTAGTAGTAGCAGTAGTAGTAGTAGTAGTAGTAGTAGCAGCAGTAGTAGTAGACGTAGTAGTGGTAGTAGTAGTAGTAGTAGTAGTAGCAGCAGTAGTAGTAGTAGCCACTACCACTACCACTACCACGACCACGACCACGACCACTACCACGACCACTACAAC